AAGAAATACTACTACGGCCGTGTTTAGTTGCCCGAATCGGCGGCGTCGAAAATACTGTAGCTACACTGTAGGTACAGTAGCATTTTGTTTGCATTTGGTAATAATTGTCCAATCGTTGACTAATTAGGCTCAAAACGTTCGTCCCGCAAAGTACAACCAAACTGTGCAATTAATTTTTTATTTCGTCAACATTTAGTACTCTATGCATGTACCGCAAATTTGATGTGACGGAGAATCTTCTTTTTGCATAGTGCCAAAGTTTGAATTTTGGTGAAACTAAACCTGGCCTACCTTGAATTCGAATAGTTGATTCGGGAAAGAAAAGAATAGTTGACCTGACTTGAAACTGGCATGGTTACTGATATCATCACTCATAACAAATGCAAAGTTAAACATGTGACCGCCCCGCTCTTAGGCGATGGCGCGACCCTGCTTTCCCTCTCCCATGCGACCCCGCTCTCCCTCTCCCTCTCCCTCTTCCATGCACCCACGCCTGCGCCTCGCCGGAGTTAGGGTTAGGGAGTTCCTGACGGCTCTAGAAGGGAGTTCAGGGGAGACGGCCTCGACACGGCATTGGTGGCGGGTTGAAGGACGGCGAGCGAGGCGGCGGCGCCGCCGAGCGGGCAGTGGGGGACAACTGGTTGGGCGGGGTTGGCAGCGCGGTAGTCGCGGCGGTGGTGGTCGGTGAGCTGTTGAGGTTAGGGTGGGCGGGTTCGAGGGGCGGGGGCGGGTTGTGGATGGCGCAGCGAGCTTCCGTGGGGTTAGGGGAGGGCGGGGCGGAGCGGCGGGGATGGGAGGTGGGTGGTGCAGCCAGCGTCGTGGCTGTTGCTGGCCGGGGCGACGAGGTCGGGGAGGAAGGGCGCGTCAGGGAGGAAGAAGGGCATGTGTGGCATGGGGAGGAAGAAGGAGCGCGTGATCGGACGCGTCCGATAACAAATATTCACACAGCCAGTGCAACCCTGATGCTCCGCCAAGGCGTCGACGTAACGTGCGGATTGCGGACGACGCATCCGCGATTCTAGATTACAGAAGTTTTTGTTTCAGTCGTCACTCACTGGCCATGGGAGCCACCAGCCCGGCGGTCTTCTGGCTGGGGGTCTTGGGACACGGTGCATGAACGCAGAGCCATGAATGCTATGACTACAATCCTTTTGTTAATGCTAAACCCTTTCGGTTCATTTGTTATAAGAAAAAAATATTGTTTTAGCTGAAAAAAAAACAAACTGAAGAAAACAAATTATAAGAGAAACGAACAGCCCATACACACCGGCAGCGGCATCTCTTTCATTGGGTCCTGGCTTTTAATTGCAGTCGAGACATCAAGATCAAGCAACTAACCAATTTTAATGTACTCCGTCCTAGGATAATGTTGCTAGGATTGTGACCAAGACCAATCAAAATATGGTGAAAAGAAATTAATTACTGGCTCAGATGATGCTCACGACTCAGCCAATCCGTTTGGACTTTGAAAATGCGCTACCGTGCACAACAGTTGTTTAGGTTCGAGGAACCATCACGGTGCTGTCTATTCTGTTCTGTCTATTCCGTTCGGCTGGTGTTAAAGTCGGCTGATAAGCTAGCTAAGGCTGTTTTATTGTGAGAGAAAAATATTGTAGATTTTAGCTGATAAGCCGGCTGATAAGTTTAAGCGAACAGGCTGTTTTCGTGGCACTTTCTCAGCCCGATATTTTCTTGTAGCTTTACACAAGCACTTCAGATCGCAGTTGACTTTGAATAAGAAATACTACTACGGCCGTGTTTAGTTGCCCGAATCGGCGGCGTCGAAAATACTGTAGCTACACTGTAGGTACAGTAGCATTTTGTTTGCATTTGGTAATAATTGTCCAATCGTTGACTAATTAGGCTCAAAACGTTCGTCCCGCAAAGTACAACCAAACTGTGCAATTAATTTTTTATTTCGTCAACATTTAGTACTCTATGCATGTACCGCAAATTTGATGTGACGGAGAATCTTCTTTTTGCATAGTGCCAAAGTTTGAATTTTGGTGAAACTAAACATGGCCTACCTTGAATTCGAATAGTTGATTCAGGAAAGAAAAGAATAGTTGACCTGACTTGAAACTGGCATGGTTACTGATATCATCACTCATAACAAATGCAAAGTTAAACATGTGACCGCCCCGCTCTTAGGCGATGGCGCGACCCTGCTTTCCCTCTCCCATGCGACCCCGCTCTCCCTCTCCCTCTCCCTCTTCCATGCACCCACGCCTGCGCCTCGCCGGAGTTAGGGTTAGGGAGTTCCTGACGGCTCTAGAAGGGAGTTCAGGGGAGACGGCCTCGACACGGCATTGGTGGCGGGTTGAAGGACGGCGAGCGAGGCGGCGGCGCCGCCGAGCGGGCAGTGGGGGACAACTGGTTGGGCGGGGTTGGCAGCGCGGTAGTCGCGGCGGTGGTGGTCGGTGAGCTGTTGAGGTTAGGGTGGGCGGGTTCGAGGGGCGGGGGCGGGTTGTGGATGGCGCAGCGAGCTTCCGTGGGGTTAGGGGAGGGCGGGGCGGAGCGGCGGGGATGGGAGGTGGGTGGTGCAGCCAGCGTCGTGGCTGTTGCTGGCCGGGGCGACGAGGTCGGGGAGGAAGGGCGCGTCAGGGAGGAAGAAGGGCATGTGTGGCATGGGGAGGAAGAAGGAGCGCGTGATCGGACGCGTCCGATAACAAATATTCACACAGCCAGTGCAACCCTGATGCTCCGCCAAGGCGTCGACGTAACGTGCGGATTGCGGACGACGCATCCGCGATTCTAGATTACAGAAGTTTTTGTTTCAGTCGTCACTCACTGGCCATGGGAGCCACCAGCCCGGCGGTCTTCTGGCTGGGGGTCTTGGGACACGGTGCATGAACGCAGAGCCATGAATGCTATGACTACAATCCTTTTGTTAATGCTAAACCCGCTCAACACGCTAGCAAGGCTAGATCGACCGGATCACACCTGATCGAGATATTCAGTAGAGATAGATCTTAGTGACAAGGCTAGATCGATGCTAGTTATTGGTCCAAAAGATCCACGAATAATAGGGGCTGTTTTAGAGCAGCAAGGCCACCACACTGGCACATCTCATTGAGCGACATGCCGGAGAACAAGGGGATTAGAAGAGTTTGAGGTGAAAAAAAAGATTAAAAAAAGGATAATAGACTTGTTTTTAATCAATTGGATTGGATAGATGGATTTCACAATTGGTTGTGATCATATCATATAAATAGAGATAGTTTTTTATCCCAGTAGAAAACATATTCAACACACAACCTACAAGTGTTCTCGCAAGATCGAAAGAGTTTCCGATTAGGAAACTCGATTTAGTCTCGGACCGCCAAAATCAGCTTGGAACCGGCCCAGGCGGTTCTTAAAGCCACCACCACAGTGTTGTCCAAAACGGCTTGGGCCAGTTTTTTCAGGAGGTTTGCAAATTTGGCCAAATTTAATCTTTTTAGATGCATTTAATTTTCTAATTTCATCTTCAACTCTCCTAACCATATTTTTGTCTATTATCATATACCCCCTGTTTTTAAGCGAAGCATATATTGGAGTTTAAACACACAACACAACCACAACAACAACATCGAATTCATCGGCTATTTTTACTCTAAGGGCGATATATACGGGGAGGGGACAAAACTCCCTCGTCTGTCCCACGTCCAAAGCACAGGTCTGTGGCCGGCTCATCTCACGGAGCTACGGCGCCGTTGTGTAAGAGTGGGGCAGTGGTTCGGGAGTTTTCTCGATCTGTGTGAGAAGATCTCTTCTTAAACCAAAATACCCCGCTGCTGTCTAGCCACCGTGGATCGAGTCTTTTTTATGAGCGATATGTCTATATTGTTCGTTATTCAAGCAGCTGTAGACTTCTTGCCTGATTTTCTTACCACGAGCACACAAAGGGCACCACCTTGGTTGCAAGAGGCTCCTCTCGGCATCATCATCATTTGCAGCAACTCCTATCTCCACTTTTTACATAATGGATCTAGCCAGATTTTCAATGAAAATCGGCCAATCAATTTTATTGACCGGCACCTCCATGGAGCTGATTGTAACAGATGTTTGTTTTATGGCATCCATAGGAGCAAAAGGAACCTTCTTTTTTTCTTAGGCACATAAATTTGCTTCAACGGTGACCAAACCTTTTTTTATGAGCTGAGATGCACCGAATCATCTCTTTGCTTGGTGTACCTATTCATAAGTCGGTCAAAAGCTAATTTTGATTGCACCTCTTTACTGATAATCTTGATTTTATTAGCCTTCCAAGTTCCAATCTTCGGATGCTTTAGTTCATATGAATTTGCAAAGGAGGGAAGAAGCACAATAGCACGACACATTTCTTGATGTAGACTTCTAGAGGGGGAACATCTGCAGTTCGTCATCAGGACGGAAGCAAAATTAATTGGTTACTTTCAATTATGTAAATCAATCAAAAGTTCAAACTGCACTCTAAGGCAGGGCATTTCTCATTGATATAGAAACTTTTGTATCACAAACAATAGTATCTCCAAAATTATAACCCCTGATGTAAAATATATCTCTTCTCTCCAACCTCATCGCGTATGAGACAAATGTATGCATTCGATTAGGGATCGTATTTTATGATTACGATTCTACCTTTTTGATTCTGTCGAAACTTCAGCAAATAGCGGTGGTAGCGACTAGCGAGAAGACGATCGTCGTCTTGGCAGTGAGCAGTGGCGCCAGCAGCAGATAGAGAAGTACATCAGCGTTGCAGCGAGTAAAGGCCACCGGAGCAGACTTGAGGAAGGCAGGGAAGCCAGGAGAAGAACCAGATACCGCTCGGTCTGTGCAGTGGACTTGACAACCAAAACAGGAAAGACTAATCACGATTAGAAGGCGCTTAGTCGTTCAAGCTGATCGACTAGCCATCAAATCAAGTCGAGGCAGCATGTTGGACTTGGACCCTACGTAGTACTGACTGGACGACTAATCCACGACGTCCATTAATCGACCACATGTAATTAAACAATAAGAACCGAGGCTGCCAAGCCCTAGGAACCTTGCCCCGACAGGCCGACATCACGGAAGGATGACGCAAGTGCAGCGGCCTCGGCGAGATAGAGATCATCCATCCCACCGCCGAAGATAGCAGGCAAGAACAGCCAGCACGCTGTGCTCACCACGAACGCCACGACCAGCGGCGTCGCCACCACACGCGGTGGCCTCGCGCTCCACCTACAAGCGCACCACCGCTCGGCGCACATAGACGCGCCGTGCAGCACGAAGAACGCCGTGACCTGCCCCGTTGGCGCCCGGAACGTGAGGTAGTATGCCATCACCTCGTGCATAAGGCCTGACACGAGGAAGGTGGCTAGCACGCCAGCGGGGACGCCGAGGCGTGCACGGACGGGGTTGTAGACAGATGGCCGGAGCACTGCTGACACCATGAGGTTCCACCGCCGGCCCCAAAAGTCTTCAAGCGAGGCCGAGAGGTATGGCTTGTTGAACTGCGGCTCCAGCTCCATGCCTAGTGCCCTCCCCGTCGCGGCGAGGCACGGCAGCACGGAATCGAGGATGCAATAGGTGATGACGCCGAAGAGGACGAAAGCGGCATAAGGGTGTGTCCGTTCCTTAGAGTGGTGGAGGTGGTGGACAATCACCGCCGTGATAGCGAACTTGATACTAGAAGATAGGAGGACCGTCTTCGTCTTTATGACATCAGCATCCTTGGAGATCTGCCGGAGTTTGACTGGAAGCGCGGCAGTGTGAACACAAATGGGAGAGGACGGATGTGAGGGTCAAGCGGGCCGTGGCCGAAGGCAAGGAGGAGGAGCTTGAACTCGCCGAGCCAGACAAGGAAGAAGGCAACGAGTCCCCGGACGCCGTACAGCGGAATGAGGAAGGGGAGCACGAGAAGAAGGGCAAGCACCGGGATGAGCGCAAAGAGGCGGCAAAGGCCAGGGCGGGTGGAGAAAGCAGCGAAGCGCGCGTAAAGCATGGCGGCGGTGACCGCCAAGGGGACTGTGGCGACGGAGTGGTGCATGGCGTCGCGAAAGGCCTTTGCGCGCGTGCACTGTGGCCTGTGGGCTGTCACTACGGGTTGGAGGCTTGGAGCTCTCGGGGGGCACAGGGCTTGATATATATACACCAGAATCTGTGCGTTGTCGTGCCATTTAAGTTGCAGTGGATTGTGACTTTGTGACCAAGACCAATCGAAATAAGGTCAATAGAATGTTCGCCTCCTTTGGTTCAACGGCGATGGCCAACGCCGCCCCTCTGGAAAACCAGAGCTCGGTCATTGGATGATGGCATGATGCTCACGACTCAGCCAATCCGTTTGGACTTTGAAATGCGCTTTCGTGCACAACAGTTTGTTAGGTTCGAGGAATCATCACGGTGCTTTAGTTTCGTTTTCCTGTCATTTTCAGCCTGATATTTTCTTGTAGATTTACACAACGACTTCAGATCCATGTTGACTTCAAATAAGAAATACTCCTCCCTCCCAAAATATATGTTATCCTCAAACACTTTTAACTTTAACCAAATATATATTTAAAAATATTAATATTTATAATACATAAATAATATTATTAGATAGATCGTTGATTATACTTTCATAATAAACTTATTTATAGATATAAATATTGCACGTATTTTCTACGAATCTAGTTAAAGTTGGAAAAGTTTAACCTGCACACGTCCCATAACAACTTCTATTTTATGATAGAGGGAGTACCTTTGATTCGCACATAAAAAAGTAAAGAATATTGACCTGACTCGAAACTCGCATGGTCACTAAGGGCAGTCCCAATGAAAGAAACTAGTAGTTTCTATAACATAGGATACCGCACAAAAAAAGTACTGATTTTCAACCCATGGTTTCTATGAGTAATAATTATTTTCTCTTTCTCTCTCCCAACTCTATCTTCTTCCTTCAATGGAAGTGCGGCACGAGCCCCCTAGAAACTGGTGGTTTCTCTCCAATGGCGATTTCATGGTTTTTTTGTGCATTGGGTCAAGAGAAGACCTGGTTTCTTCATGAGGAAACCATTTCTATGATTTTTGCTCTCTTTCTTCATTAACTACGTTGTCATGTCAACATTTTGTCTATGTGGCAAGTCATTTAATGAGGATAGAAACCATCATCAATACACCATTGGGACTGCCCTAATATCATCGATGGGGCTCGAGTTCCAAAGGAATAAGAATAATACTCCGGTAGTCATAAAAGCATCTCTAGAGTTGAAAAAAAACAATTTATCTCTAAGAGTTTTAAAAAACAATTAGTAAATCAATGAGTTTTCCAACTGACTAAGAAAAGTTGGGATCACATTTGTTAGTCTCAAACTATTTTTAAAATCTCGCTCCTAAAAATTAAAATACAATTTTGCATTAGAAGTGTCCGAGACTATTTTCGAATCACCCTAACCATTTTTATATTTGATTTTTCTATTGTACATTTGTATTGGAAACCCCGTCCATACTCTATATTCTTCCCACGTCCTTCCACTTCTAGATTGGACAATCAATACATGTGTTATATTTTCGCATGGATTGGATCAATTTTCTCAAGTGTGGAAAGATTGGGAGTTAAAATAAGGAGTGGGTTTTGAAAACTCTTGGAGATGCTCTAGGACGTGTTTGGAACCACTTAAAATCATGTTCTAGATGAAAATCAGCTCCGTCGCACCCGCCCCTCTGCTCCTCATTCGCTTCCCCGCTACCACTGCGCTAGGCTCGGCCGGCGGCAACCCGCTCCCCCACCGCTATTGCGCTAGCCTCGGTCATCGGTCGAAGGGTCCCTGCTCTCTGCTCCCTCAATGCGCCCACTCAAAAAAAGGCGAGTTCAAAGCGGAATCTATCGACGATGGGGAGATTGCTGAGGAAGGAAGGAGATGGGCGAGGAAGGACAAGGCAATATAGGGCGCTGGCCTCAGTGGCATGGGAGTCTCAAATGGTTGAGAGATGACCAAGAAAGCCAAGGGCAACGCAGGTGATCTAAAGAAGAATGACATATATGGCCTTTTACACTCCAGATAACCATAATAATCAGGATTGCTAAACATTCCTTATTCTTTATGCCAAAGATTTTTTAGACGTGGCTTATAAGAAAATCATTGTCGTGGGTTTGTAGCCATGCTGGCTAGTGATTAGTGGAACGATTGTTGGGTCGATGTGTGGGACTTCAATGGTTAACACTCAAGACACAAATGGTTTATCCTAGTTTGGTCCTCAAAGCCCTAAGTCCATCAAGCTAGTTCTTCATGTTAGAGTGCTCAAGCGAGTTCTTCCAATGAAAGAGACAAAGATGGTAGACGAGCCTTGAGCTAGTTCTGATCTAGGATTTTTTGGGATTCGTCCCCCTCTAAGGGAGCCCCTGCCCAGCCTTATATCTCAAAGGGCAAGGGGAGTACAAGGCGTATTGTTTCATGGCTTCCTTGGCTCTCAAGGAAGCTCTAGGGTTTTGCACGTCTAGTCTTGGAGTCGTTGGAGGCGTCCAACGTTCCATCCTTCATGGTTGTGGCCGACAGCCCTGGAAATGTTCCTAACATCACCTTTAGAGGCCTCGAACTAGTCATTAGAGCCTAGAGTTGCTCTTGTGTCTCTCATAGGTCCTTCCTTCCCTTAGCATCCATCATATGCCAAGGAGAGAGAAGTTTTCAAAAGAGAAACTAACATGGGTCCCATGGCTTCCTCAACATAGAGAGGTCACGTGTTCTCGCTGCCATGTTGTTTCATGCCTCGCGTGACCCTATGCCGGGAATAGCCAACAAGGCCTCACAAGGGGTGAGGGGATAGAGCTTTGCCAGGGCCATGGGCACCCATCATAGCATACCAAAAGATTCCCAACATCACTGCATGTAGAAGGTCACCCAGGACGATAGGAGATGGGGCCAATGCTCCTGAGCCACCCTTAATCGATCATGGGCATCAGCGCCAAAGCCTGGGTAAGGTCACTCGAGAAACCTCAAGTTCGCGAGCAAGGGGCTTGACCCTCGTCCTGGCTGGAGGCACCTTACTAAAATGATGAGGCACCCCGTTGCTCGAGTCATCTCGGGCCCAATGGGCCTTTCTTGTTATCCAACGGTGGAGAGGGGGAGGGGAGGGCGAGCGCATCCGCTACCTGTGAGCCCCTATCAGATTAGGAGAGTCAATCAAAGAGGTTAATCAAGCTATTATGATGCTAATCTAGGGATTAAGGTAACCCTGCTATTAGGTACTCAATAATCATGATTAGATTAGAATTGATTGTTATATAAGTCGTTCCAAACATAGCCTTAAGAAATATTCTCACAACATATTAGTGCAACCCTGAGGCTCCGTGGACGTTGCATCCATCTATGATTCTAGATTACAACAATTTTTCTATTAGTCGTCACTTGGCCAGCGATGGATCCGCTAGTCTAGCGGTCTTCTAGCCAGGGACATGGTGCATGAATGCGAGCCAAATACATCACAATTACTAAGCCTTTTGTACCAACAAAAAGACCACAAATATCATGTGAGTGTCACGTCTTTTTTAGGCAATCAACGAGGAGGGGGTTGAGGGACCTGTTGACATTTCTTAGCTTCACTCTTAACTAAGTTGTCATCCCTAGCATGATGCTAGAAATGTGTTGTTGGTAATTATGATAACACTTGTAAACTATATATAAGGTATCCACAAGCGCACAGATAATATACCATTATAACATTTTACCCGAGAGTATACCGAGTATCGTTATTTATATTTTATCCACAGGGAGGAGCTATGGGGTTGTGTTGGCATAGAGATATTGACAAATATGTATACTTATGATAAAACCACTCTCATGCTATGGCAGGGGTAAGTCAAGTGATAAATAAATGATAAGTGTAAGGTAATAATGGTATTCCAGAGATAGAAATAGATACTCATAAAATGTAGTAAGACTAAGCAGGAGATTTGTTAAGAGCAAAAGATTTCTAAGTCATTACTTATCTACTAAGTCTTTTGTATACCCGAGTATATACACTCTCATCTATAGTATAACTAACTTTGGATCTATGCATAAGGAACATTACTAAGGAAGATTAAGAACAGAGCTTGTCTTCCTTCGTAATCACGTTCTACGTGCTCTACAAACGGGGAGTAGACTACAAATGACTCAATGAGAGTGTCACATCCGTTATCTACCACATGACCCAGAGTGCAGAAGGCATCCGCATGCAAACAATATCTAAGCACCATGCTTACATAATGTTGACCACTTAACTCTCTCGAGAACTGAGCTAAGAGCTCTACGAACATATGCATATATTCATCATTAATCGTAACTATATCAAGCATTTTACTAGAGCAAACTAGGAACATAATATTGAAGTAGCACAAAGTCATAAATAAAGAGATACAATGGCAATACCAGTCTCCAGACAGCAGATCCAGAATCCTGAGCGATAGCCCAAACTCTACTTAAACCTTGCTAGCTAGCCTATACTAGAAACTTGAAGAATTGGAGCTATATTCTCTTCTCTCTAGAAACCCTAATTTCTGGTCTAGTCTTGACTTATGGCAGCGTGCTCTGGAGGGGGGTCAGGGGCTGGTTATATAGGCCGGAGCGTCCAACGTGAGCCCTTGGATCAAACCGACTTAAAGGCCAGCGTAGATGCATCCTAGGAGCCGGTGGGGAATCAACGTACGAAGGAAGCTGATAGGTGGGTCCCCCAGGGGCCAGCGGCCTCTAGGTGGGGCCAGCTAGCCCCACCTGGCAATGGCTTGGCCTCCGCTTCGGTGTGGAGTCCTCTCGAGACTTCTGGAACCTTCTGGTGTCCGTTTCACCGTGGATAAACATGATTTTATTTGATGATTTGATCCTCCTTGATGGTTTTCTAAAATAACCCTACTAAAAATATAGATTCACCAAACCTAGTAGAAATTATTAGTTAAAACCCCTAAGTCTATGTTGGTGATCCTGTTTATGCATTTATTCATGTTATGTTGATGGTTTATGATGGATGGTAACTACCGTCAACAAACTCCCCCAAGCTTAATCTTTGCTCGTCCCTAAGCATTGCCAAACTTAG